TCCAGTTTTTCCTTAACTCACTGAAAACGAATGGTTCGCAATTTGCTGAACGGCTAGTCGTCTATAAATCGATGAAAATTGCCCGAGTTATATTACAAATCTATTCGCGAATAATTTTACTTTGTGGAATGTTTTTTCTTCCTATTGAATATAATCTGCTGTCTTTCATTCCGAGAGATCTATATATTTCCGCAGGACATTCCACGTTCATTAAACAGGTAACAGTCGCAAAATAACAAGAATATATAATTTTTATCAAAAATATTTTATCAGAATATAATGAGAAATATTATCAGAAATATTTTTATCAGAATATATAATTTTTAACAAAAATATTTTATCTAAAATTTAAAATTCTAATATTCCATATTCCCCATATTCAGTTCCACATTCTGGTATTGATAATCTAGAGAATTAATATTTTAGAATTAAAATTTTAAAATATTAATCATCTAGAACTAAATATTAATGACCTCTTGTACTATCTAATAATGGCTATCTAATATCTGTTTTAATATTCTCATTAGAAATATGAGTAATATATGTTACGGAGATTTAAACAAATTATTTATAAAAATAATTGTCGCGCGTACTGTATATAGAACAGATAAATTAACAAAGCCAAACAAGAGTTCCGCAATGTCTGTAACACGGTGTACTTTTCGAGATGCACGCAAGCCGCAACTATACTAAATTAGCATGCCACGCAATGCCACACTGGTGACGAACAAGATATAAACACCCAACAACGTTTTAGCTTTACGTGTGACGCATATAATTTAATATTTATCTTAATAATCTTTTCGCTCAATCTTAAGTGACATATCTAAGGAAATACCCGCCGTTCATTATCTTCCACAAAATGATACGGATTAACCACCGTACGACCAACAAAAAGACATTTCTTGATATCTCGCATCCTCGCCTGAGCGAGCACTTGCTTTAATTAATTTTGTAGCGGCAACTAAGACCGAAGAGAGCTTATAGCGAGCTTTTCCATGCACTCCGGGGAGTCCCTCTCTTTGGCTTTTCCCACAGAACTCGTCTGTTCTATATCATCATTGCTGTCTTCGTATATCGAGATTCGAGCAAGCATCTACTAATACTAGTACACACATACACATACATACATTTCTCTACGGATATCACATTGTTAAAGCTTTAAAAGCATGAGACTGTACTGCACCTGAGGCGTATCACAGTGGAAAGCTAATGAAGTGCAAAGTTTTCCACGCAGACTATCAGCTTTTGCTCGCTTGTTACGATACGTCCGCGTTAATTAGGGAGGTTACAATCTACCGTTTCCATTTGAGTGCGTTGACATCAAACTAACAACTCGACTTACTCTCCTTTGTTGTCTCACGAGAAACAAAGCTTCAACAATTTTATCGTTGAAGTCGAAATAAACAAGGAGCGCAATTATCTCGCTCGTTTATAAAATGCATGCACATGTTCTATCATGATAATAAATACTAAAGACTGAACACAGAGAAATGTTTATTATTTTTATAATTTTCTCTTTGAGTTAGACTTATAAACAACTAAAAATGTAAAATATTTTTCTTACATATAAAGTTTTAAAAATTTATGCAGATAATGAAGTCTTATCTTTTATACTTTTTATATTTAAAACAAGTTTTATGCTTTTATTTTATAACTTGTTACAAAGATATTAAAAATAATATTTTTTTGGGTATGAAAAAAAGATATGAAAAATGATGATCGAAGTTACAGAAGAAGAGATTCATGCCAAAATCGAAGAAGCCATACATACGAAGAAACGTGCTACTTTTGCTATCGTCTATATTGTGTATCAGATATTGCGAGGATGCCAAAGCTGAAGAGCTATGTTGACGTCTTAAAGTTCAGCACTCAGTGTTCCGAGAGACAAGATACTACTACATTGTGGCTCATCGCCATTGTCTTCAAGATGGCAGTGTCATTATCATCCACGTGATGTATCATAGGAAAAACAATGAGGAAGAAGAATTTATCTTGGCCGGAAGTAGAGTCCTTTACCCATTCTCTACCTAATTCACTCTTAAGCTAAAGCGTAATGAGCTCTGATCTAATCTAATTCCATCCAATCTTCCTCCGGCTATAGCTACATCCCGCAGCTATTACAGTTCTCTGATTACTAAACTATAGATACTTTGAACGTATTTGGCTGTTAAAGCTACTCATCTCTACTATCTATACACTGAGTAAAAAGGTAGTTAATCGTGAATTATTTCAGAATCCTCGTTTTCAATTATTTTATATTTTAAATACTGAGGACTTATTTTGTTTAAGAAATTTCTTTTGAATTTATTACTTCTTTATTATAATAGGATAAAATAAAATACCAAGAATATACGAAGAGATACGTAAAGATAAAATATTCAGGATTTAATGGCCACTATTTATTTAGTTGATTATTTTGTTATAATTAAAAGATATGGATATTTGACATACAAATTAAAACATATTATAGTTAGTATAAAGCCGAAATGTGAGAAAGAAACAATTAGTTAAAATGCTTTAAATATGGAGTTTGTACGACAGTACAAGATATATCTTTTGCCATTAAATCCGGAATATGCAGCAGAGTTAGTTTCAAACACTAAGCAAACACTTCTGCTACTTCGAAACATATATCGACCGTTCCTGAGTGCATTTCTAACTCAACAACTCGCAGTGCACAAAGTGCACGAGTGCTGCAGACCATTTTGCAGCATCTCAACACACAACTACACGGGTCTTGAATAATGCCATTAAATTTTCTCAATAATTAATTGCGTTTCATTAATTATATTATGGTTAAAAATAAAAATTATTGTTTTTATACATTTTTCAAATATTTGAAGTGTACTTTGATACATTGCTCTTTCTACTGTAATTACATTACTTCAAATATCGCAGCGTGTGTGCTTTTCGTAACTTTTACAACTCTAGTTAAAAGTTAACATGTACATATTACTTAGAATCAACGTTAGAACTTTTGATGTAAATAGCTCAACCACTCAGGATTTCAAACCACTTGTTATACATAGTTACGTTCTATTATGTTTTATAATTTCAGGAGAAAGTGTCAAACAGAAGAGAATATTATTTTAATATTTGTAACATTCTTAGTAAAGTCCTATAAAGGATAAAATAGTCAAACAAAAATATGTTATAATACATTTCTTTGCAATAAATTTCATTTATGATATATTTGAGCGTCTCTCCTCAAAGTAATTAACAAAAAAACTATATCATTAAAATTACGCGTGATGTATTTTTTATTAAATTTTTACTTAATAAAATTACATTAGTTAATGCAAATTATCAATCTCTTTGCTTTATAAAACACGCCATTTCCATTTTTCGATACAATTAGATTATTTCATTTCGTTGCACTTTAACGATATTTATGTTGTTGTCATGCAGTTGCTTTCCATAAATTGATATTTATATGCGATTCGAAAATCGATGGTCCGCAGTTGGCTGGAACAAAAGTTGTTCATCGATGCACCTCACCTTCACATGTGTCCTTATTAAAATACTCGTTACCTTTTTTAACGTAAATACATGCGAATAATGACAATCCACTTTGCTCTCGCAATTTTGTGGTTAAAGTAATTTTTTTAATTATAACGAAGAGAGAGGGAGAGAGAGAGAAAGAGAGAGGAAGGAGGGGAAAAATACATCCGGAATAGAGAAAGGGAGCACAGAGAAGAGATTGAACAAACCGAAAAAGAAAAATAGAGGAAAAAATGTCTTGTATATAACAATTTCATTTTATCAACATTACAGGCTGAAACGGGCAAAAGCGTATTCAGCGCAGATGATGACTTTTGACAAAATTAAAAATCTTTGGAGGTTTTAACACAAACATATATGTAAACAAAAAAATTGTTAAAATAAATATATTTCATTCTATTTGATATAATGCGTAATAGAACTCAACGGTTATTCATTACGCATATTGTTAAAATTATTTGTTATAAATAGATCAGAAAAGAATCTAATAAATAATTATATTTTGTTATCAGGCTTTATCTCACAATACTGTATCTATCGACAATTAGAGACATTTAAAGTTCAACTGTCATTAGCTTTCCTATAGATTCGCCCCTAAGTCGACTATGGTGCAAATGCTCACAGAAATCTAAAGCTTTCACTGTAATGAAGCCTCCGTACGAGAGTTACAGTAAAAGATAACAAAAATTATTGTGCGCGCGTGAGAGTATCATGCAAGAAATGATACAAATGCATGCGATAGTGGCGAATGCGGCACGAGTGAATAGACGAAATCAATAGCCTCGATTTGTCGAGTGAAACGCCAATCGTTCTCTATTTCGAGGAATACTAGAATCGTCGCTTGCGTATCAAACTGTCGCTACCTGCGTTTAGCTTCTCCGAGTATTGAAATAGAGGGAGAATTGATAAAAAATCTATTTTCAAGTTACAAAAAAATCTGATCGTTTTTATTGAAACTTGGAGCGAATAATTCTAGGAAAAACGCTGTCGAGAATATTGCGTATTTTTCAAAGAGTTGTAAACGTTTGCGGACATTGGCGTTTCAGAACTTCCTCGCTCGTTATTCCTCGCTCGTGCATTTAATAGCTGCTATTGGAGATTTCAATTAACCCGAAATATCACTAATCGCTTGTCTGGTTTTAAAAGCTGATTTATCAGTCGTGAATTAAAAGATATAGATAAAATGTTCTATTCATGTATTCTAGTACAAATTGAAATTCTATAAAGTTGAAAATGTCAGTTGCAAATGTCAGTCACAATTTCATGTCTTTTATTTAAAACAATAATAAGAAATTTAAATAAAATTTGTTAGCAATTTTGATGCAATAGCAGCTTTAAACTCTCTTTATCAAACATTATACGTAAAAATTAATTAATAAGAGAATAATATGTAAAATCTATATGTAATGCGTTGTAGTAGACTTTAATTAATATTGATCACTCGACGTGTGTTGTAACTTTTGAATACTCAATCAGCGAATTTCTCTTCGTTTCAGATACGCTGAGTCTAGGAGATCGGACGATAGATAACATGGACAGACACGCGATTCAAACCAGACCACGACAACAATTGCTGGATCATTCTTCCGGACTGAAAGCGAAACCGGAACCCACCTTCGACTTCTCGCAGAATACTAACGTGACGGCTCTGGTTGGAAAAGCAGCATACCTCACGTGCCGAGTTCGCAACTTGGGCGACAAATCCGTAAGAGTTTTTTTTTCTTAACGTATCGTCTATAATCATTATAAATTACAAAAGAAACATAAAATAGAAAAGTCATCTATAAGAGTAATATTCGCACAGTTTTAAATGTTATAAATTATAAATTATGATAATAATTATGATTTGATACCATCTCTATAGTATGTTTATTTTTTTTAATCAAAAATATACGGAAATATATATATTAGGTTGAACGGAAAGTTTATTCCGTTTTTTACTAACAATAAGAGATGAAGACCGAAAAAAAGGCACGAACTTTCCGTTCAACCCAATACAATAACTTTGATCTCACGATCAACTTTTTCTTCAAATTGTTTCGGTACTTTTTGTTAAAAGACGCATATTTTCCCTGATATTTGTAAAAATGTAAAAAAAAATTGTGAGTTCAGAGGTTTTTGGGTGCTAACTTTTTAAGGAAGCATTTTTCGACCTATGTTTATAGGAAACTTTTTGTTCGGTATTAAATTATCTTTCAAATGAGATCGAAATGATTGTAGTTCGTTCCATAGGTTTTGAAATAAACCAGTTTGTAACCAATTTCAAATGTACCGAAGTGTTTTTTCGGCTATTGAGGGTTATTCGAAAACCTATGGAACGAACTACAATAACTTTGATCTCATTTGAAAGATAATTTAATATAGGTTTTGAAATAAACCAGTTACTAACCAATTTCAAATGTACCGAAAAGTGTTTCTTCGGTTATTGACGATTATTCGAAAACCTATGGAACTTTTGGGTTGAACAGAAAGTTCGTTCCGTTTTTTACTAAGAGATAAAGACCGAAAAAACGGCACGAACTTTTCGTTCAACCCAATATATATTGTTACATATTCTAAAATCCGTGCATCGATAAATTTAGAATTATTATTTCATAATGGTAATAATATATTTAAAATCGACAATGTTTAGATTGCTATAATTAGTTTTATAATAATATAATTTAAAGTATTCATATTTCTGCATTGTATAAACGAACAAGAATCTTTATTTTGATTATAAAAACATCACTCTGCATTGTTATGTTAATAATACTACATTTTATGGGGATATTAATAATACGGTTTTTAATATATGACGCATGATAGTATTATATTAATAATATTACATTTCTAATGCAAGATATTATTGATTTTTTATGTTCATTTAATTTAAATCTGTAAGGACATTTAAACTAAAGATAAATTGTCTTTCTCTCTTGCCCTCTTTCTCTTTTTTACTCCTTTTATGAAAGAATCCAGTCTTAAAAGAAACGATTTGCAGGATATAATCGAATTGCACAGGTCGATTGAATGTTAATTGACCTTAGAGGTAGCTGGAAACTCTATTTTATCGCAGACGCAATACTACCATTTCTATTGAAAGAAATTATCAGAATTGTTAAATAATCGAATTGATCGATCTTATGTATAGATTATTATTGAATATAATCCTTTATGCGATTACACAAACGTTTTTAATTTTGATTATTTTAAACAGATGCGTTTGTAGGATATTGTATGACGGTCCTTGTATTCGCTTTAGGAGTGTTACAAGGCAGAGATTCAGTTACTCTAATGATGCCAATAAAAATGCTTGCAACAACAATAGTAGCTTAACTTCATGTTAGGTTTTATGAAGCAATTAAAAAGATTGAGAGAAGTATTACATGACAAAAATCGAAAATTGTTACACAGGTTAAGTTGCTCACCCTACTTTTTCTCGATAAATTTTTGTTTCTAAGCTGGATTCAATTTTTTTCACACGAAAAAGGTCGCTTTAATAGTTTTAGAAAACGTTTAAAAATTTAAAAATAAAAAGTTGTTTCTGGCTACTTAAATAAAGAAATTACTAAAATATTTCATATCAAAATTAAAAATTTGAAAAAAGGAATAGAGACTGTTCCATTAAATTCTTGTATTAAAAAGAAAAAAATTGATATAATATTATTATAAATGCAAGATGCAAATACAATATCGTGCACTTGTTTTATCTAAAAATATATCCTTTATTGTTTTCAATCATAACGAATAATTAAAACTGTAAAGACTTAATTTAAGCGCTATTGTAACGTCTGTAAAAACGTCGGATGCAATATTTGAATATTATATGGAAGAAAGAGATTGACTTTGCACTCCTATATAATTGTTTTGCGGCGTTACGTGGTAATTGCGTTTAATAATAGATCAGGGTTTTGCTCCAAATTTTTCCGCGATTCTGCTTTCTCACAAAGCAATTTAATTATTCGTGCACTAATGGTTAAGCTGCCTCACGCGAAACCCAATTTACGAGTTGGTTAGTCGCCTTAGGCTGCTTGTTGCAAAGCTAATATACTATATAAATACATAAGTTAATATTATCAAAATAATTTAAATATTATATTAAATCATTCAAATCTTAGATTGATATACATATGTATCATTTTATAAACTGATATGTATAATGATTCTTCTCTATTCCTTAAATATTTCATATTAAGAGATTCTTCAAGGAAATCTTTAAAATATGATACTTTATTCGTACATGTATATTCCATCTCTGTTAACAAGTTTATTTTAAATATATTAATAATTTTGACAATTACTTATAATATTCCATTTAATTTAATTTATTTATATTGTTGCTTTCATTAAATTTTATGGAATGTTTACTATAATCGAGTTTAAATTGAAAAATTGTTTAATTTCATTTTATCTTATTTGACAAACTTCCTGAATATTCAGTTCAGTATAAAAAATTGTTTTATTTTTTTCATCGAATTAAATCATGCAATTATGATAGTAACTTATATATATCTTAATAAATTTCTGAATCATATAAAGATTTTTAATGATTCTTGTAAAAAAAACCTCAGCGCATCTCGTAACGCCATATATTTTCGTACATACATAGAATATATTATTATACTTTATATTTTTGATAACTAGAGGAAAGTGTACAATCGAATGTTTCAGGAAACTCATAATATCGCCATTATCTTCATTTAGCGTCAATGAATTAAATTTCGATAGATACTTGATGTGACGCGCATATTAAAAGAGGAAGTTTTTAATCATATTTTATGACACAAACGCTCGTCTGATTAGTACGATAACGGGATTATCGAGAGAAAATAGCACGAAATTCCACGCAATGCAGGTTATATGTATAAATATTAAAAAAGATACAAAAAAGATATATTACAAAAGTGAAAATACAATATTCCGCAAAATATTGAAGCAATTGAAGCGTTATTATGAAAAATGGTCAAACTATTTGTATGTATTATTTTGTATTAATGCAGAAATTCATATTGCGTCACAAATCTTCTTGCCAATAATTCTATGCATAATAAAAAATTTCAGGATTAGAATCACATTTATTTTTATTATTCAAATCTTTAAACAATGTGACTTTAATCATAGATTATTTTATTTTAATTGAAATGTCCGTATTTTATATTATTATTGTATAATAATGACAAGGATTTCTTAGCTTAAGATGTAAAAGAATAGATAGAATAGATAAAATAGACAAGTTAAATTTGAATATTAATATTAATTTTAAATATTAAATATTAATTTTAAATTTTAAATATTAAATAAAATAAATCACAAAAGAAGAGAATCTTGGATATTATTTTTATATTATATCTTTTAACAAAAAAAAATTAAATATAATTTTTATTATAGACTCGGTAACATAGTGAAAGATATAATGAAATTATTCGATGTCTCATAATCGCCGCGATTTTCAAAATGATTTTTGTCGGAATAGTATGATCCCAAATGCCACATTCTAGGTCACAGTATGAACAGGTTCTCATTCTAATCCCATATTCCCCGCATCTATGATAGAACAGGTTGCCGTATATACGGGCAGATGGAACATTGACTTTGCCAGAGAAAGCGGGAAATCGATAGTTTCAGCAAATATGGGTCTCACGGATTGATTTTTGTTACGGCAAGATCTCTGTTTGAGACAGAATATTCCAGATTTATAGATTGTCTGACTGTTACACTCGCGTTTTTGTTCGATTCTGTGAGCCGGATACGAATAGAGGAAACTTGAGTGTCACGATAACGCACGATTATCACTGTAATATTGAAAAGCTACTAATTGTTTAGGTGCTGGAATTCTTAAAAGAGAAATTTTTTATTACGAATAAAATTTCCACTAGTAGTATATTGTCCCACTAGCGTATACGAGAGATATATATATATATATATATATATATACATATATACGAGAAGATTAGTTTTTCTCGTCTTTTAAAATTCTGTTTCAAAGCTTAGAAGGCCATAAAAAGCTTTCTGAGCTTACGTATAATAAGCAACAGAATACTTTTAATTTTGAAAGACAAGTTTTAATTGCCAATTTTGCGGTGGCATTTTAGATAGCAGATGACAAGATTAAAAATTCAAAAATTTTAAGATGTGCTTAGTTTGAAACGATACAAATTACAAATAAAGAAATGTATTTTTTGAGGTAGAAAAAGAGAATATAAATGATATTTATGATTATAGTTACAATTGTAAATATTTATGTCATGAGATTGCATTATATATATATCTTATGTTCTCAATATTGTTTCGCGATAAAAAAACTTTATAAATTCATGTAAAATTTCGTATAATTTCGAATAAAATTTACTACGAAGATAAAAGACCTTCTCGACGCTATCGAGACTGAAAATATATTCTGACGCATGTCACACTAGATATTTGTTTACGCGTATGCATTACCAATCACTGTGTCAATGTCACAACGAGTTGACGGTTAATATTTATATAACGAAAAACATATTTTACGACTAAGCAATAAACAAAAACGATCGAACGCCCTGCTCGGGACGAATACCGAAAAGATCATCAATTAACAGGATCGATATATCGTGTGCTCAATTGACGCGAGAGCGAGAGCACTCGTGATAAAAAGGTGATGGCGAAAATAAATTAATAAAATATGAAGTTTATTCGCGACGTATATATGTATACAAGACAAAGCAGCAGCAATTTAAAAGAATTATTTTTTGATTATTATAATATCATATAAACGGATGACTCTTTTTAGACTCTTCTAAGACTTTTGTAATCGTCTTGATATCAAGACTTTTGAAAAATTTATTTTAAAATTTTTACTAAATATTACTAAATATTAATATTAAAAAATGATAAACATTGTGATATATTTATCAAAATAATCGAATCTGAAATGAAGGAAATTTTAGAAGATGCTTTTCATCAGTGTTTGAAGAAATAAAATTAGAAGAAATCCAACACACACACACACACACACACATTAATTGTAAAACAAATTTGTAATACTTTTATGATTGTTAGAAAATATGTATATATACATATATTCAAATATATAAAAACACTAGTAGAATTAAAAAATTCTTAATATACCTATGCGCGTTATATATCAGCATGAACTATTTTTTAATAAATCATGATTTTGGAAGAGTTTCGGGAATCTCTTTGCAGAAATGTATATACTAGAACTCACCTTGCAGACAATATGAGAAACCATTTGCCACATTCCTGTTATGTTCGTGCGAGTTTCACTTAACGTTCGACATACATCATTCCCGACATCTCGTTGTAGTTTCAGCGCGGGTGCCGGCGCTTTGCATCCGTCTGTGAGTCGCCCCATTCGTCCCAATGGTTAAGTTAGGAAGCGCTAAACTGCTTTTGTTCCCGTGTGATAGCTGCCCAGCTAGCCAGACGCCCGCGAGAGACGTAAACTTCGCCGAGTAAATACGCTAAGTGATGCCAACGGCGGGACGTGCGTATATGTTGACGGTAGTAGTACGTACGTACGTGTGCACCGACACACAACCGTCCTTTTCTCCTGGTTTACGTACGAGGTCGGACACTGTGAAAATATCGACAAACAGCCAAGTTTCAACCTCACTCTGCTAAAGACCACCCACGGGGATGTATTTCTGAAATTTCCCCGCATTGGGGATGTACGAAAACCCGACGTTAATACGCGTCGAACTTATACCGTTGGATTCCAATGTTCCCTCGTTGCTCCGCGATTGCTTTCGGGATGGATGGCTGATGGATGGCAGCGATAAATTATCTCGACATGAATATTATTTCGCACGTATGATTCTTTGAACACTATGATTTAATGGCATTATGACTTAACGTGATGGGTATATCGGCAAAAATAATAATTTTTTTAGTTGAGATTAAATTTAATATGAAAATAATTGAATAAAATATTATATAACTATTTCACACAAACGCCTAATGTGTTGTGATTTGATATATAAGATGTAATTTTTATTACTATTACAAAATCTTTTTTTCTCGGTAGGAAAACTAATAGATTTTTCCCTCTTCCTCATCATATTACATATTTGAAAACTATAGAAGAATAAAAATATTTGCTTTGTCGGAACAGAGATGTATACGCTTTATTGAAAGCTCAACGAGTAGTCTTGGAAAATATTAAAGTAGCCGGTGAGCTTCAACGTGAGAGACCAAAGTGCCTTTTCTTACGGTCTAACTTTTAAGTGACCCAACTTTCCTCATCAGAAAGATTTAATTTCTCATCCCTGTCCACTTATCACCGCAATGTATTATTATTCCACACGAGAAAGGAGATTGCGATTAAATTATTCCCTTTATTGTCCCTTTCATGTAATTAGAATGATAATTAAAATTTCTATAGATAAAGACGATTGCTCTTTGTGAATAGTTTTCATTTACAATTTACGATCGTATAAGAAAACTATTCAAGATTTTCTTACAATTTCTTATTTAATAATAAACGATGCGTAACTTGATTAATTTCTATGTTAAATATATTCATGACAAAAAGCAAAATTCTATTTCATACAAATCAATTCTTCATGCAAATTTGTGTTATTTTGTAACTTTATACTTGTTAATCCGATTACTAATTGTATTAATTTTGCTTTTTATACTGCAACTTTGTTAATCTTGCTTGCCTTCAAGATAAGATAATGGATAGAGAATTAAGATAAGGGATAGTAGATAGAAAATCAGTCGCTTAAAAGAAATGCAAGAAGATTCGAGTAAAGGGCGCGGTTCTTAGGATAATATTATTTCTGAAGAATTCTGAGGGAGGGTTTCTCGAATGTAAGAGAACGCCTGGATCGTTTCGTTCCACGGAAATCCTTTTATTTTCCGTTCGAAGACTTTTCCTGAAAACCGTCGAGGACTCGTAGTTTTGCACTGACACCACCACGCGTTCGTCGGAATCTGCTTTGCGTGCGCCAAAAGGGGAAGGGAACGCTAAAACTTCCCCGGAAAAGTTTTCTTCGCAACTTTTCTTACCGTCTCTCGCGTACGGATCGCTGGTTTTCGGCGCTCCACGGAAATAGATGAATAGATTCTCTCGTTCAATCCTTCCATTGCGGAATCGCAATAAAATCTGATACTATATACGAAGCACTTCACGACGCTAGACTGTAGTACAGTCGAGCGGCTTAGGTTCAAAGTTATCGAGAGAGGTAAGCTTCCAGTGCGAGAGTATATTCTTACGAGTCGCTCTTACTGAAAAAACTCACTTAAGGTGACGCACGAAATTTATGAGTCACAGAAGCAACTTTCTCATTTGTATAAAATTATTAATCTTTTATAAAAGTGATACAAATATTTGTAACGTTATCGTTTTAAATTTACGTTTCGGTATTTATTGGATGTCCTATGATATAACTGTAGAAGAGATGATAAAAAAAAGATAAGTTAAAGATGTGCAATACAATTTTTTAGTATAAAAGTTAATTTTTGAAAGAATTGACTTTGAAGATTTGAAGAAATAAATAATATCTTCTTTTTTTTAACTCAATAGTATCTATAAATTAAATTACCAGATATTAATCAAAAAATAATTAAAACGGTAATTTATACTAATAATACAATGAATGAAATATCAAAAATATATTTTTTTTTTTATAATAATACGTAGTGCAATCGAAGACATGCAAGATACTTTATAGGCGCTATGTATAGTGATTATATCTTTATTATTTATCACCTTTATCGCAATTTTCGTTTGCAAAGGTATCCTGGGTCAGGCATAGAGACATCCACATTCTAACGGCGGGAGCATACACATACACGAGCGATCAGCGATTTCAAGCGCTACATAGAGAAAAAACGGGTCACAATAACGAGTGGTCCGAGTGGACTCTCTGTATAAAATGGGCACAGAAGCGAGACGAGGGAATCTACGAATGTCAGATTTCCACCATACCTATCAAGTCGTATCAGTTTCATTTGAACGTCGTTGGTAAGTTTCACGTATATTCTCGCACAATTTAATCTTACATCCTTCTTTGTGTCTTCTCATTAATAGCATTTTTTTTAAATGTTATATATCGTAATGGAATGTATTTAACTTTTCAATTTGCGTAACATTTATCTCTCTCTCTCTCTCTCTCTTTCTCTCTCTCTCTCTCGGTCTAGAAGATCAGTGTCCTTTTTTTTTGAAAAATTTTATTTGTTTATAGTAAAGTTAAATTAACAAATGCATGATCAACAAAAAGAATCTACGGATGCATGACCATAAAAAAATAGATATTCACTATGGGATTGCTATATACCAAGACATATAAAATACGTGTTATAAATTGTGGATAAATTTAATTCCCAAACATGTTTAGAACAATATTTAGATTGTAAATAAATAAAGAAAATAATCAGTATAAAATAAAAATATATATATCTATCCAACGAAGAAAGATGCGCTTGACGATTAAAACGTTTAACGATGAAGCTCCCGAGGCTCTCAACATCGGTAGGGAATAACGTCAACGTCCCGCTCATTATTTCAATTAGACTGACCTTGCGTTTGTTAAGAATCTCCACCTCGTTACTTCTCACAGATCACGAGAGGACTTTAAAGATCTTTCATTCCCCTCGTTCGCTAAGTACCATTCCCGAAAGGCTTTCATGCGGAGAGCTTTCACGATCTCTGGAGTTATCCGAGCGAGCGAGAGGGGAATGTACAAGAAATAGTGAAAGAAGTAAGGAGGTAGAGCAACGAGCGGGAAAAGGGGAAAAGGAAAAAGAGAGAGAGAGAGAGAGAGAGAGAGAGAGAGAGAGAAAGAGAAAAGCAAAAGAAAATTCTTCTTTATCGCAGTACCTACGGCGACGATACTGGGCGGACCCGAGCTGTACGTCGGTGCTGGCAGCACGATAAACCTGACGTGCGCCATACACTTTAGCTCGGAGCCACCAGCCTTCATTTTCTGGTACTACAATGCAAACGTACTGAGCTACGACAGTCCCAGGGGCGGCGTCTCGGTGATAACCGAGAAGGGTGGCGACGTCACCACCTCCTGGCTCCTTATTCAGACGGCGCAACCCTCGGACTCCGGGGAGTACAGCTGCAAGCCCAGCAACGCCAATAACGCGTCCATCAGGGTTCATGTCCTAAATGGTGAGTCTTTACTCCTGCGAGTCCCCGCCAGCTCTGTTTTCTCGGCGATATTTTACGAGCGACGCGAGTACGACAGTCGCGAGAGCTCACGTGCGCTAAGCGGATACTCGCGTAGAAATTTTGCACTCCATCGTTTAGTCAAATCTACGGAAGTAGTCTGAGATTACAAAGTTTACAAAGTTTATAAATTTGGATTTGTTGTCAAATTATACAGCATTCGTTAACATTTATTTAAATAAACCCCGAACGCTGCGAATAATTATTAATTATCGTCCGTAAAATCTATGCATAAATTTACCAATAAACATGAGCTTTTTAATTGTGTTTATTGAATAATAGTATATTGCAATATATAAAAATTTCGTCCTACTGACAAACTTCTCGAATTTTTGTGAAAATATTAAGACAATTAGCAAATAATAAAAATGTGCCTATCAGACTGACAAGCTCTTGTGCATACAGTTCCATAGAGTTACGGTAAATCTGTCTCGTCGCGCAATGACTGGACATCATGTCGTTTCGAAACGCGCAAGAGGAGATACCGGAACTCTGAATCGACTATTCATTCCGTAAGTTGTAATTTCCGCCCCACAAATTCCCAAAGTTGTCGTAAGTCCCCGTTTTGCAGCGTGCAGAATTATTCTATTGGCCGCCGCTGTGTTCGGGGATTTTGCACGGAGCCTCTCTAAGCATTAACTATTTACAACCAGCTCGTAAACTCGGAATATTTCGCGACCACAATCCTTAAAATCTCTTACCCGCGTCCGATGCGGATCGAAAAAGTTTTCCGGAATCTACAAATGGCTCCGCCACCATTCACAAATCCGCTTAGAATGGAAATCCGACGATAATGATGCCGAGATACGAAAAGAAAAATATTTCCCTTCATTTTTATTACTCTCATCGCGTGATCTCTCACGCGTACCGATATCCCGAAAATAATATCGATCGGGGGTGTACATTCGCAGCTGTCTCTTCCCAGCTTTCCGTTTAGAAACTTGCCGCTCTAATCAACTCCCGGCAATTATGCAATCGTGAAGTTCGCGCGTGCAAATACGCGAGTGTCTGCACGAATACACGAATGCGTCGGTTTTGTATAATAAGGCCCTTCGTCATCCGCGACGAGTGAAGGAGTTGCGCGTAGAGTTAGCGAACGCTTCAATGATCCGACTTGAATAATTTATTAATGAAACTCGTGCGAAAAACACAGAATTATGTTCGTTATTCCGGTCTACTTTTCATGATGCGACAACGTCGCGCGAGTACGAAACAAATTTCAATTTGTGAATATTCTAGTGTATCACGGTTATCGGAATTTGTAAATCGTGAAGTGAAACATTATGGAACACAAAAATAATTCGGGCATGGTGTACTATCGTATGTAATAAGCGACCATTTACGAAACGTTGTAAAAAGGGAACAATTCTTTTACATGCACAGATAGTTTATGCATATATTCTCAGTATATTCGGATATATTCCGATATGAGAAGAAGCCATTTATCCAATAATATTCCATTAATGGAATTATAAACGTAGAAAACTAACGTTGGATATTTATAAAAATTTTTGTTACATAATTTTTTTTATCTGCTTCACAAAAAAAGCCATTTACTTGAAAGTTTGAATCAATATTATCAAAACTATGATACAGTTTGATGGAGAGCAATTTCTACAATAAATATCTCTAGATACAAATTTTTATTTTGTATTTTCCATTAAGGTCCAGAAAAATAGAATCGCATATGTTGATTCTGGTGGCTCTCTTTTAATATTTGCACCATGTGCTGAATGTGTTTATATATTATATATTGATATAATATTAACACACACATAAATCATGAGAGTTAACAAAATATATCAAGTAGAATAAATCCGTGCTTAAATTTCCGTAATCTTTATCCTCCCTGACTTTTTCCGGAATGTTTGCTTCGGAATCTATCGCAAAGATTTGATGTTGCAATATCGATTAATGCGCGTATTGTCGCGGAAAATACAAATTGCAACGGCGAAAAATAAATCTTGAGTGCACGCTCTTTAAATTTTACCGTCGAAAAATCCCCGACCCATCCGTAGAATACGACATCTTAAAAGCTCGCAGAAATTTACAACTACCCAGCTTGATACGGCTTGAACGGGGCGGAAATTACTCTTCGATTCGTACACGCATACAGCGGGGCACGGCTCTGTCCGGCTGGTGCGACCGATATTCCACGTCGAAAGAAATATATAGGTCCCCGACTTCGCGTGAAAACTTTACCATTAGCCGTATTCCGGAATAATTCCTCAGAGTTTCCGGTTACAATGCGTTAAAAACAATTTCAGAGAAAGTTCGTCTCTCTTCTATCTTCTTCTCCCTCAATTTTCAGTTCCGCCGTTGGAAGGAATGTCTTTCCGAAATCTTTTGCGTTGCGATAAGAAACGCGGATAGCGCGCAAACGTACCAAAGTTTCGCGTGGGCGCAAAACTTGGAAAATTTACGAGGACCGAGTCGGAAAATTTCGCGTCCGGCATTTACGGATAAAAGCGGAGGGGCGAGACACGCGCGCTCCGCGTCACCGGAAATTGTACTTCGATTCGCTTTTACGAAGTGACCGATATCCGATGGAACGTCGGATAGGAAGGACGGTGAGCCTAATACACGCCGCTCGTTCCGCCTCTCCGGCCGGAACTTTTACAATAGCGACGAAATCGCCCGCGATCAACATTCCAAACAGACAAACGTGGCGATCTCGCGCCGCGCGATCCGGCAAATTGCGCCCGCCAGAAAATAGGATCATTTATCCGAATGTATCGCGCCGTTCTCACTTGAAATTCATTAAAAAGTTTCGCGACGCATCTCGCGACGCGAAACAAACGCGCGCGCGCGCGCGATTCAATTAATTTCGGCCAGTCACATTGGATGGAGAAACTTTCCTCGCGCGGTGTACACGTCACTAGTATTTCAATAACTTTCCATGCAAAAATCTAATCCGTGGCACTGGCACGTGCTGCATAGTGAGCCCTCGTTATCCGGATCACGCCCGCAATCCCGGCCGTTTCAGCCCCCTTTTCTTGTCCCCACCCTTTTCCTCCTTCGCTTCCGGTTCGCGTGAAGTAGATTATATTCACTGAATGAGACTTGATAGATTGATGGATGGTTTATTTATTCCTGGCATAAACCCCCGAGAACCTCTCGTAATAATGGGTTTACCGCGTAACAGAAGCAAGAGTGACGTAATAAAAATGTATAGCCGGATAGCCGAGTTCCAGTTGGAAGGATAATTCGACGCCAACGTGTCACGATAAAAGACGGAACCGCGCGAGAAAATAGAGAGAAATATTCTCTTCACAACCTATATGTATATAGGTACTGAGATAAAAATATTAAAATAAAATGTCAGCGATTATCTATAAGAGATCAGCGATTTTAAGTAGGATTGATCTTCGTGTTCCAGGCGAGCGACCGGAAGCGATGCAGACCGGGACCGCGGGACCGATACTGTCCTCGAGTTGTCTATTGGTGTCCCTCATCATTTTGTACATATCCTCGGTGTAAATGGAAACGGAATGGCGCCACGACTCGGAGTTCACATCCGTCGCGGTACGTTCCTCATGCGTTTACGCGCGAATGCGTTTCCACGTATTCCATCTAATAGATGTGATCGCGGGACGATACTGCATTTTTTTGTACGGGATATAAAGAGATTCCGAAACAAAAAATGATTAAGACAGTGTGTGTTTAGTTGATATACGTTTCATGTAATTCACGATGTTTTTATAAGGAGAAAAAAAACTGCCAATAAAAAAACAGCAATTATCTTCCCATAATTAACAGTGTTTACGATTAACTGATTATCGAAAGCATTGTGAATTACAATTAATTAGCGATACGTCAAATTACAAGATGCATACCGTAAAGCAAGAATGCGCGAAGCGAAAACGCTCACGCGAATCTATTCCTTCTCTTTTTTGATCTCAAAAGGAACGATGATACACATCGAGTTACTGCCGAACTGATTGGTTTCTTCCTATCGAAGGACGCCACTTTCTCCGTGCACCACTAATTAATAACACTCTCGTGCCGACGTGCATCAGAAATCAAAATGGAGAATGCAAGAATGCATGTACTTTTGTCGCACGCATTTCGACTGGCCGCGATGGAATCGTGCGTGTTATCGATGTGAACGCGGTCGCGACGGAAGGAGAGAGAGAGAGAGAGAGAAAGTATGTATATGTGAATGTGAGTGTGTATGGATGTGTGTATGTATCTTTCAGTGGAAAGGCATTTAGTTAAGTAAACGTCGATGCTAATGCCGGAAGCGCGGGCGTTTCGTGGCGAATCTGGCGCATAAGAAGCCCCCTTTTCTCCACGAACGGGAGAAAAAAGGGTCGCGATCACCGCGGTTGGACTCCCCCTCCGATAATCTAGGTAATCCGCATCGGGAGAAACCGATTTACGAGAAACGTAAAGGCGAGAAGCAATTGCCTTTACGGTACGTTTTACGAGAGGGCGAATCTTGGGAATGCATGCTACGTGGATTCAATGGAAAATAAAACGTGACTGGAGTGCTCAATTTGACAATTTTCCGTATTTCATAAAAATGCCGTGCGATATAATCGACGCTCATATACTATCCGCGATATCACTTTTTGGTCCCGGTATAACGCTCCCCGTAATTTTATTACGATTCGCCAAGTTATCTCTGCACGTTTTCTCAAGGATTAGTCTTATCACAATTAAAAATATCTCTCAAATTTCAACACTTAAAAAAAAATTCCTGCTTTAAAGTGTTATAAATTTTATAACTGTTCTAAAATAAGACTTTTTATATTAACGGATAATTTTGTTATACAATAAATTTTATGACATTTGTAGAAAAAGTTTTTGCAATCAACCTTATCATTATCACATGATATAGATCAATGCACTGATCAATTTGTCTCTATTTTCTTTATCAAATAGAAACTAGAAAATAATAAAAAATTTACGTAAAAATATATATGTCATCACCCATAATCAAATAATTTGAAAGTACTGCTATGTCAAAAAGTATTGATCGTTGAAGATATTATTTATTTTTCTAGGCATAGAATGAAAAGTTAAAAAATTGATATTGATAGCTGTATATAAATTTTAACGTACGCACTAAACTTAAAAAAACTATCGATTCTGTATTATTGTTTGCTGCAAATACTTGCACACATCTTTATGTAACCGTTTTACAAATCAATCATATTAATAATTATAATTATACAAATGCGTATCAATTATACTAAACCATTAATTTAAACAATTAGCCATTGATGTGATACTAAAAATGTTTAAATTCAAATAAATTTTAGCAAATATTTTCAATATAATTAGATACATATATTCGATAAGACACATTTTAGTACGAGACGGTATGCATTGATTCGCGTATTGTGAAATTGTATCTAAATTTATGTGTGTTCGTTTAATTCATGATTGAACTCGTGATATCGAGAATTAGTAACTGAATGCAATCAGCATAAACTCACAATCGGCTTAAGTATCCCATTGTGAACGCTTTAATTATGACCTAATTTTCTATTGTTCACGATTAGCCGTTAATTAAAGGCTTCAACAATGTTGAATATGGAAATAAATTATCGAGACATGTTTAATTTCAAAGTTTCTTATTGGGATATATATAAGATTAATAATTATCAAGATTTAAAATAAATATGAGAATAAAATGCATAAAAAACAATATGTAATATTTTCCACAATTTTTATAAGAAAGAAATAAATATACACACAAAATTTTTAATATATACATAAAATTAAAATATTTAAAAATAAATTATATGGAAAAGGATTTGATCTTTTAATTATTTCTCTTATAATTTAATGATTTTTATATATTAGTTTATGTAAAATCGTTAAAAACACATTTGAAAAATAAAAATTGATTAGATATACAAACAAATATTTTATGAACAAGAAAATCAGAGAAAATGCATATATCAAAATTAACGTGACTATAATGCGATGGGTATAGCATTAATAATAATCACACTTATTTCAAGACAATAAGCAAAAATACAATAAACAATTAGACGCGTTTGTTTTAATACAGCACTTGATCAAGAGTCAGTAAAAAGCAATTAGCGTGGATAGATAACAATAAAAACGGCATACGCGCATGAAAGTTAATCTTATAATCGCAAATAAACGCGAATGAAACGATTGAATAATCGAATCGAAATTCACCGCGTGTGCACGACAGTGAGATACAATAATCGCCAGCGATTATTGCGGGTCACGCATAAATAAGCATTCTATCGATGGAAATAATGACGAAGCACGCTTTAAATTTCTACCCCTGCAGATCGAACATTGGTTAGCTATAAAAAATTTTATATATTGCACGATTATTTCTCGATGTATTTTTGCCTTTAGTTAATTTTTGCAGTTAGTTATGAGCATTTATTTCATATATTCAATGATCGTCATATATTCCATTATAGATATGAGTAAAACAATATAGAACTGAATTACACGTTAAAAAACGCAACTTGATAGCGAAATATTATTGTTTCAATTTCTAAAAAATACACTAAACTAAATGCAATATTGATTAATGATATTTCATTAATTTATTTTTGTAATGATTATCCTATCAAGTAATGATTCAAGTAAATTATTAAAGAGATATATTAAACGATATTGTTTCATAATGCATATTTAATTACACGCTATGTTTAAACCATACGTGTAAATTGTTACCCTAATAATTAAATTCATACACAATACTAGTAGAGAGAGGATTAAAGATCTTGAGATCAAAGTATCAATGATATCGGCATAGTTTTGCATAATTTTGAATGAAAAAAATTGATATTGATAGCTGTAAAAAAAATTAAACGTACGCACTAAACTTAAAAAAACTATCGATTCTGTATTATTGTTTGCTGCAAATACTTGCACACATCTTTATGTAACCGTTTTACAAATCAATCATATTAATAATTATAATTATACAAATGCGTATCAATTATACTAAACCATTAATTTAAACAATTAGCCATTGATGTGATACTAAAAATGTTTAAATTCAAATAAATTTTAGCAAATATTTTCAATATAATTAGATACATATATTCGATAAGACACATTTTAGTACGAGACGGTATGCATTGATTCGCGTATTGTGAAATTGTATCTAAATTTATGTGTGTTCGTTTAATTCATGATTGAACTCGTGATATCGAGAATTAGTAACTGAATGCAATCAGCATAAACTCACAATCGGCTTAAGTATCCCATTGTGAACGCTTTAATTATGACCTAATTTTCTATTGTTCACGATTAGCCGTTAATTAAAGGCTTCAACAATGTTGAATATGGAAATAAATTATCGAGACATGTTTAATTTCAAAGTTTCTTATTGGGATATATATAAGATTAATAATTATCAAGATTTAAAATAAATATGAGAATAAAATGCATAAAAAACAATATGTAATATTTTCCACAATTTTTATAAGAAAGAATAATAAATATACACACAAAATTTTTAATATATACATAAAATTAAAATATTTAAAAATAAATTATATGGAAAAGGATTTGATCTTTTAATTATTTCTCTTATAATTTAATGATTTTTATATATTAGTCTATGTAAAATCGTTAAAAACACATTTGAAAAATAAAAATTGATTAGATATACAAACAAATATTTTATGAACAAGAAAATCAGAGAAAATGCATATATCAAAATTAACGTGACTATAATGCGATGGGTATAGCATTAATAATAATCACACTTATTTCAAGACAATAAGCAAAAATACAATAAACAATTAGACGCGTTTGTTTTAATACAGCACTTGATCAAGAGTCAGTAAAAAGCAATTAGCGTGGATAGATAACAATAAAAACGGCATACGCGCATGAAAGTTAATCTTATAATCGCAAATAAACGCGAATGAAACGATTGAATAATCGAATCGAAATTCACCGCGTGTGCACGACAGTGAGATACAATAATCGCCAGCGATTATTGCGGGTCACGCATAAATAAGCATTCTATCGATGGAAATAATGACGAAGCACGCTTTAAATTTCTACCCCTGCAGATCGAACATTGGTTAGCTATAAAAAATTTTATATATTGCACGATTATTTCTCGATGTATTTTTGCCTTTAGTTAATTTTTGCAGTTAGTTATGAGCATTTATTTCATATATTCAATGATCGTCATATATTCCATTATAGATATGAGTAAAACAATATAGAACTGAATTACACGTTAAAAAACGCAACTTGATAGCGAAATATTATTGTTTCAATTTCTAAAAAATACACTAAACTAAATGCAATATTGATTAATGATATTTCATTAATTTATTTTTGTAATGATTATCCTATCAAGTAATGATTCAAGTAAATTATTAAAGAGATATATTAAACGATATTGTTTCATAATGCATATTTAATTACACGCTATGTTTAAACCATACGTGTAAATTGTTACCCTAATAATTAAATTCATACACAATACTAGTAGAGAGAGGATTAAAGATCTTGAGATCAAAGTATCAATGATATCGGCATAGTTTTGCATAATTTTGAATGCATTAGTTTATCAGTAGAAAATGAGAGATAGTAAATCAAATGCCGAGCACTCCCGTTATCGTTTGTCGTCACCCTAAAGATCCACATCGCCGACAGACAGAATGAACGAAATATTGATAGATGAACTAAATAGTTCGCGAGATGGAGATTAAAAGACGAGCTTCTAGAAACACGCGTGTTAGCTCGCTTCCCGGACGCATGTTAAACTCTCGACCCGTATTAATACGCACGCACAAACGCAACCAATACCTCGCTGGCACGTATTTCGTGCGCGTCTACATACGGATTAAGCCTAATGGCGATGCCCTAATCAGCAATGCGACGAATGCGTCGAACCGACCTGTTTTGCCGTTCAATGAACGTCCCGCCGGCGTTAGCATCAGCATACCAAATCGCAAATTTGTACATAATGTCTGTATCATAACTTGTGCGACATCACATTCACACGCCTTTGGAAATTTTAGACGCGAGCCGATCTCTCCCCTCGCTCTCGGACGCGTCCAGACAATCGCGAATTTTTGATGCGGAAGAATCGCTCTCCAATCGCGCGAACGAGAGAGATAGATAGAAAGAGAGAGAGAGAGAGAGAGACGGACTTCACTTTCTATTTGTGTATGTTTCGATGTAATGGCGATGCCCTAATCAGCAATGCGACGAATGCGTCGAACCGACCTGTTTTGCCGTTCAATGAACGTCCCGCCGGCGTTAGCATCAGCATACCAAATCGCAAATTTGTACATAATGTCTGTATCATAACTTGTGCGACATCACATTCACACGCCTTTGGAAATTTTAGACGCGAGCCGATCTCTCCCCTCGCTCTCGGACGCGTCCAGACAATCGCGAATTTTTGATGCGGAAGAATCACTCTCCAATCGCGCGAACGAGAGAGATAGATAGAAAAAGAGAGAGAGAGAGAGAGAGAGAGACGGACTTCACTTTCTATTTGTGTATGTTTCGATGTAACATCCTGCCGGATAGCGCTGACGAGCGACGACCGACCTGTCTGATGAGAAGCAGCTTTACTTCCTACGGAAAAAACGATCTAACCGTTTATTTTCTATTATCATTTCTTAAAAGTTTTGATTAGATTTTGTTCTGTTACATGTAGAACATTTTATCATTGTAAGTACATACACAGTTCATAATTGAATATAATATTTCTTTCTACACTCAAATTCTATATAATTATCCTTATTAATTTTAAAAGAATATAACAAATCTGGCTTTTTAATACCATAGTTAAGAGAAAGATTTATTTAACATTTTTTTTTTTTTTAAGTAAAAGAAGATTTATCTGGTATACATTTAAGTATTTAAACGTTTCTAATCATGAATGCACCAATTAAAAAATTTTCAAAAAAAATATATAAATATTCTTTTTATTACATATAATTTATAAAATATCTTATATATATTAAATATGCTAATATTAAATAGAGTTTTACTTTTATCCATTTAAAGTTGAAATTAATTCACATACACATTTGTTAATCAATAAAATGCGTAAAAAAATTTAAAATATTCAGAAAAATGTTTAATTTATTACATATGTTTAAGTAGATCTAAAAAATATCTGACTTATTTTTAGCAGTAATATCGAGAATTTTTATATTGAAAAGACGGATTTTAAATGCAACAATGCATGAACAAATCACGTCACTGCCGCTTGCACATCCGCGCAAAATGTAAGTCGCGAGAAAATGGAAAGTCGATAAAAGAAATCATCATTTGTCCGCCAGTGCGATCAAACAGTATCAAAAGTATCGTTCGCATCATCCATGCCCGACGAAGCGAAGTTGCTTGCATTTTTACGTTCTTACGCGAATACAAGACCGCCTGGTACAAAAGAAACTCTCTAGACGACACAGATGGTCGTTTGTCAGAGGCGATTTATGTAACGCGATGAGTCGAGAGAGGGATGAAAAAATATAGAAATATGTGTTGTCACGACTCCAGAAAAATGTAAAATCTTAAAAAGAATGTATATTTATTTTTATTTGTCATAATTTTTTAAAAATATATGTTTGCTGAGAAATTTTTTTTGAGATTTCACAAAAGCCTTTTTAAATTGGCAGCGATGAGAGAGATACATATGTATTGAGTCGAGTCGAGAGACACACACAATCGTTTTCG